ATCTAATCGCTTGGCATCGCAACGGAGCAGTCCACCTTCCCACGTCTGCTCCGGCGCAGGTGCAGGGAAGGATGTCACCGGCATCGGGCATAGGTTTAGCCCAGGAATGGAAGCAAGGAGGATGAAGAAGGAGAAATGTGGAGGATATCTCCATACCGAAGGCGAGTGCCCTGGGACAGGCGCGAAGGGAGAACAGGAGTCCATATAAATACCTAGACTGTCCCCTCTTTCTCTCCATGTCGGATGTGAATTGTCTCAACTGATAGTTCCGGAGTTGAGAAATAGTCACATGAATCTACAAGAGGGAGATAGTGAATGCTGTTTTCACAAGCGTAGGAAGTATTATAATGCAATCCGTCCTAACTTTTTTTTGGTAGCAGCAGACTTCAAGCAATAGATCAAGAAAGGTCGATAGAATCTTAGATTGACTCATAGATTAACTCCCCTCTCACATCACCGTGACCCTGCGTCACCCACCTTCTGTCACAGAAACAAATTCAATAAGAATCGGAGACCTACGCGCCTCCGTCTCGAATGCGCTTCCAATGAGGGCCGTGGGTAACGCATGGGTAACGGAAAGAGACCACTCATGGTTCCATCCTGTCTGTCTGTGTTTCCATGTGTCTGTCATCGTCTTCTCGTCTGTTACATTTTGGTCGTACGTCGATAACTAAGAAAATGTTGACATGAACAAAATGAAAATTGTAAATCAGCCAGATATTAACAAGATACAGGCGGAGCTTACTTGTGGCAAATTTGTTCCGAAATTGCCATTTAATTGCAAAGTTCGATTCGAAATCTGGTCATGGACGGTAAGACCTGAGCCCCTCAGGATCTGCATCGCCATTAGCGTGCATGTATTTCATTATGGAGGGAGTACATGTATCCTCATCGCCAACTCGAAAAAAAGATTCGAAGTAATGGAACAAGTCTCATTTTTTGGTCGTAACATTCATGGCATTCGCATTTACACAAGCTGAGAATTCTCAGATTCGGGAGAGACCACCCAAAATCGACATGAAGGATATCATTGCTCCAGATGAAGAAGTTCTCGAGACTTGCATTTCGAAGTGGCGGCAAACTGGTAAATGCATTTCCAGAGAGTCGGAGCTCCTTGAGATTGGTAAGTTGCGGTAGCATCTCCCAAGGGATTCTTCTAAGAAACTATACTCGATAGTCAACCTCCGAAGTCCATCTCTCGAGGGTAACAAGGCCGTGGAATGGAGACTGGCCACGGAGGCATAGGCAACGACAATGTCTTCGAAACTGATGTCACCCAAAACTCCTTCGGGTAAAAATGATACGTCCCAGTTCTGGCTCAGAAGAAACGTTCGACAAACAGAGTGAGAATATGATGAAATTCCAGCTGCATTGAGTTACAGCCGTGATTTTGATCAATCAGCATCGAGGATTCCATTGTGAAGGACCTGTATAAAAGATTAGACTCAGTTTTTTTTAGTAAATAACATAATTGCTCTTTGCATCATTTTCCTATGATAGCTATGCGAAGTCTCATATGCAGTAAATCCCAATCTAAACCAGCGAAAACTGCTTTCAACTTCCCCCTGGCGTTCCCTTCATTGCACGCACTGACTTCCCACGCATTAAGGAGTGTAGTTAGACTCAGGACTCTTCTCATGGTCTCACCGCGTCAATGACACTGGAACTTTTATATTGGTTTTGGAAGAGATTCAATTCCGCTATTCACTGTTTCAGTAATTGGGAGCACCAGGGCCGAATCAAGAAGTTGGGAGGCCCAGGGCCAGTGAATTCCTTGGGGGGTGGGGGATTCCATGACCCCCCCTCCCCGTGCTTTAATACTTAATGTTTCTATTTTCCCTCGGGGGTCTCCTTGTGAGGGTGAGCCCCGTGTCAACAGCTCCCATCCCAACCCCCTGTTAATAAAACCATTTCACTCTCATCATCGACCTATACGACCAGGAGTTCCCATATCAAGTGCCCCTCACACCTAAGCCTCACGGCCAGCACTATCTTCTAGATATTCAGGCCGACCTACGCCCTATAAGAACGGGTATGGAGACCGTCTTTTCCCAATTTCTGGATTCGGGTATATCTGATCGGTGCCAAGGACCGTCTTGAGAGCTCAACGATCAAGAAGTAAAGAAATGTAATCCAGGCATGACCCAACCCTTGAAGAGGTAGGTACGAACTGTGTAAACTCCGCAAGCAGTAGAAATACCGACCACCCAGTATAGACGCGTACCACCCTAGAGCTGGCCGAAGTGCGAGGACACGTTGTTTCCTTAGCGGTACCGAGGTGGACCAGACGGAGGTTTTCCCCAAGATACGTGGTAAATACACTATCAGACTAGCTTCCTATGACCGCAATTGCGGCCTTCTACCATAGGAGCAAAACATCAACGAAGAACAGTCTTAGCCAGATACTCCATGCTAAAATGTAATATACAATTCGTGATGGAGCATATACAGAGTGTATCATATGTCAGAAATCATAGGATTCTATGGCATAGTCTATGGCCCAGAAAGGCAGAGCCTTGTAGGCATTGCCCGTTGGCAGCGAAGTAGAACAGTGAGTTCCTTAGGTTTTTTTATTATTCATCTTTAGTTTTTAACAGTTTTGCGACACGTCTGAGCATGCTGTAAATGAAGTCCATGCACACTTGTAGCGGAATGTCGTTCCACTCGGAATCCCCATGTTCGTACAGCGCAAGCCTATCGCTCGGATCATTGTCGTACTCCTCGAGTCGTTTCCTCAGATAGAGCCACAAATATTCAATGGAATTGATGTTCGGGGACTGTGCGGATCACTCCAGCACTTCAATTCCATTGTCTTCGAATCTTTTATGGGTAGTCCCGGAGGTGTGCTTGGGATGGGTATCCCATTGGAAGATGATCTTGCCCGCGTTCAGTCTGTAGTGTTCGATGATTTTGAACAGTTCGTTCGAACCGAGGATGCTTGTTAGATAGTTGTTGTTGGATAGAGTTCTGTCTTCATGGGGCCATCGATACGGCACGCATCGATATCCGCATGACCGTCCAAGGATTCGCATGCGATTCCAAATCATTTCACTTCAACCGTAAAACAAGGTCGTAACTTTAACACGCTACGCTGTGAGAGTACAATCCAGCTTTTTCCATGCTCACTTGCGCCCCACATATCCCAGACAGTTGATCTTGCTCTTTTCGGACCAATGGGCACGCTTCTAGACTTCCACGTTTCAATGCTTGTGTCACCAAACCAAGTCGAGGAGCTAATGGGTGTGTATTTACAAAATTCAGGGCTTCATTGTCTTTGATTCTGCCTTCAGGTCGGCCGCTTTAAGGGTGCGACGCACGGTATAGACACTGATCTCCACTTCGGTGGTATCTTTCAGCTCTTACGCTAGCTGTATGGCAGATTCGTCCATTCCTGAGTTGAACATGCGGACCCGCTTTACGCTGGTTGGCCGTCGTGGTCTTCACTGGTCTTCTACTATGGGTCTTCCGTGCCTCAGGCTTCATCTTACCACGCATTCTTGTTTTACTGAAGTATAACCTGCACCCAGTTGTGCTGCAGTTTTCTGCAGGAAGAAAGAGAGAGTTGGCAGTAAGCGAAGAATGTGCAAATGCATCATTTTTGTAAGTTTGGTGAAGCTGGAATGTATGCGCCGCAATCAAGACATGTCGATTGGTTGGACTAAACATTAGCAAAACTGGTCCAATGGCACATGCACCTTTGAGAGCCCATTACTCCACGAATACACCCTCATTAAAAAGGAATGTCAATGGATATTGATGAATGAAAAATGAATTTCCAATTCATGTGCTGTAACAGGGAACCAACAATCTTCCTCATAACTAATTTTATCATTAGGATCGCATGAATTGCAGGAAGTGACTCATCTCCATGTGCATTGGTTTCTTTAGCTAGAATATCCCAAAATTATTCAGATAAAAATTCGCTCAAAATAAAATCCGTGAAGAATATTGTCCTGAACGTTTACTAGCAGCACATTTACTAATACTTAATATACAGTTTTGTATATCATATTTTTAGAAGTTCCAATTCTGGTATCCCAATCCCACTTATCACGTGTTTGGTCCGATCTGCCACTTCGTTTCCAGAGCTAGTGCGATGAATACTCATTTCACTAAAACGGTCACTTCGTTTTTCAGATGGATTTCAGATATAATAGTAAAGTCACCATCATCACTATCAATGTTATGGAAATAATTGGCTTTCATTTTCTTTTTCTTTTAAATATCGATCACCACTTCCACGCGCCATTTCTATAACAATAAATCGTGAGAATAGTTTATTTAAATAGAAATAGTCTTGAAAACATGGCTTAAGGAGTGAGTAACTTTTAAAACCAAATTACTAACATCTAGTGGACTACAGGCAAACCAGAATTATTCGATCATACTCGATAATCTAATTGGGGAGGGTTCAGAAATGCACTGTATATCAAGAGGAGTTTACCTGTCACTGTGTGTCAAAGGGTCAAAAAACTAAAAAGCTAAAGCAAAAAAAGCTAAAATACCTTTTATTTGCACATAAATATTCTTTGATGAAGTTAAATCACACGCAGTTCGTCATCTGTTCAGTCACATAGGATATTTTTCGCCGCATTTTTTTTTCACAGATTCATACACGCTTCAAACTGGTGTGTAGGTTCACATCCGGGATAAAAAAGATCGATAAGCCGATATAAACTGCGCCTTGATGTTCTAAATCCACACAAATCCATTCCGGTCTTCTGCCTTCGACCATAATCATGCAACCACCCATCTCGGCGATGAAGGAACGGTTCACGTTTCCCTTCCCTTTCTTCTTCATGCTTGGTTTCATCGCAGGGATATCTGGGCAATACCCTTGTCCCGATCCTGATGAAATTTCTCCTTGCACGTGTTTTCGGGACCCCTTTCTTCCAATGCACCCTGCCGTCGTGGATTGCTCGCGTGCGACTTCAAGTGATGAGATATATTCCGTCTTCAATGACGCATTCTGGCCTGTCTCTAATCTAACCGTGAGTCAGATGATACTGTCAACAAATGATATAGATATTTAATTCTAGATAATTATATATGTGGCATGACATTTCCAGTAGGAATTGCTGATATTAGTCTTTGGTATCGGAAAATCAAAGTGCCCAATTGGGATTTTCTCAATGAAATTTACTTACACAGTGTCAGACATATAGTTATGTTCAGAGCCGAATTTGATTGAAGCTGAATCGGACAGAGACGGAAAGGTGAAACTTAGCACACACAATACCGACGTGATTTCTTGAAAAATTCAGCTTTTGCGGTGCATCCCCTCAGGGAATAGCTTTTAGGAGAGTCGACTTTTTCAATTATTTTTTTCACCGGCGAAAAGAGAAAATGCATAAGGCTGAAACTTGGCCGGTATGTAATTCCCTGAAAATTGAGTTTAGTGAAAATGTTACTTTTTTGGTGAAACTCCTAAGGGCATCTTTTATTGCGAGGGGTGCTTTTATCGGAATATTTTTTGATCCAATGAAACGGAGAACGATAGAAAGCTGAGATCGGTTAGCTAATAAGTCACCCTAACTTCGATGTATGTCACCTCCAGGAGGGTTATATGAAGAAAGTGTTTTTTTTTTCCGCTAAAAAACGATTGGGAATACAAAAGCACACTTTATATTTGGTTCACAAGAAATCATTGCGATAATGATTTCTATAATAATCTTGATTTTGTCCCCTCAACTCACGTATTTCGACTGGGACGTACCCAAAGTAAGTTTTTTTTTCTATCTCTCCCTCCCCCTCATTAACTGCCAAGATAATAATTCCCTCTTAAGCAAACATTTATACTTTGTGGGGTTCACTTATCAAATAGAATTTAGTTAATAATTATAATTCCTCTCCGATGACGGCGCATTAATGCGATGCTTCTTCATGTGTTCAGTAAATCACATTTCGCATATTTATTGGAAATTACATTAGTTTAGCAAAACGATTGCTTTTGGTGGTACCATGAATGAACCGTTTTTTCAGTACGTTATTAGAAAAAAACTAAGGTATGGTTTTAATTGTCCTCATCCAGGAACAAATGAGCAACCACCAGGAAATCCCTTAGAACAAATAGCACTTGCAGAAATGCGTCTATATGCATTTGGCAATATGTTTTCGGGTGTTTCTTCAGGAAATTTTTGTAAGTGCATGCACTGCTGCGTTTCATTTTAACAAACCTTCAAAGAATCCCTTGGAATTATCAAGGCTCATGGAAATCCATGCATTCAAAGCTAGTTTCATTTTCCTTCATGTTTCTTCCAGGACATTTCAAATGTATTACAATGATGTGGTTGAAGAGATGTCCGAAGGAATGCTTGGCGATATCTCATTCGAGTACATTTTCCTCACCGATTGTGCCATTGGCAGCATCCATTCCTCAACCCTACTACCTTCTTCTGAGCGACTCCTGAGTTTGTCTGTGGATGGTCTTTTGAATGGTGGCAAACTCACGGAGTTCCCCTGGGACGCCCTCCATCAATTCACCAGTCTTTATAACGTCAATATCCAGTTCAATTCCATCACCACTTTGCCACAATTTGAAAGCTCCAGTCTCATGCACCTCAACGTGAGGGGTAATAACATTTCAGTACTTGAAACTGGGTTGTCCACGCCAAACTTGAAACGTCTGATATTGAGTGAGTACCACGATATATATTACAAAATGTCTGATTGTGGAAAGTTTAATTTTTATGCTTTAGCTGTGATTCGGACGATTTTTGCGAAGTACGCACATAGAAATTGCGATGCCGATCCTGAAGGGTTCACGGGTACTAATGTTTTACCTTCCGTGACCAAATTTCGTATCAAAAATTGCAATAAAATGTCAATTTCAGCGCGAATTCGCCAAAAGAGAACACCGACTGTAACTTGTTCATATCTGCCTGCTGCCAATTTTCACCTTAGTCAAACCAACTTTTTCTTAGTTATCAACGTACAACCAAAGTGTAGCTGACGGAAGCACGACCACACGGACACATTCACGCACAAGAAAGACAGGAAGGAACGATAAGTGGTCCCTTTCCGTTAACCATGCGCTACTCACGGCCTCCAATGCAAGTGCATTCGAGATGGAGGCATGTAGCTCTCCTTTTCTCATTGAATTCGTGTCTTAGCCAGAAGGCGGGTGAAACAGGGTCGCAGTGAATGTGAGATTGGTGCCAATATGTGCTTGACCGCCTTCGGCTTCGAGATATGCACGAGGGAACGATTCCTTTTCTTGTCTAAAGAGCTACGTTTTTTGGGATAGTATACCTAATTACTAGAGAGTTGCTTCCCGTTGGGAAAATAATTTCGCTGTGGACGCGACTTCGGGGCTTTACGATGCGATTAAATCACCAATGCATTTGATGCAAGGAGGTTCCATGTGCACACATACCAATACAGCGAAGCTCTTTGGGGGTATTGTATTTTTCCTTCAAGTTAGTTGAGTTCCTTTAGTTTCTCTTCTTTTTAGTTTAAGTCATTGTGGGTGGTTGTGCAAAGTGCCAAGAAAATCGTGTATCCTAAGGAAACGGAAAATCTTCCCCGAATCGTGCCTATGGAATTATTCCACTATTCAGCACCATTCATAACACAACAGAATAATTTTCTGTGTGCGAAAAATTTCAAAGTTTCCCATTTCCCCATCTCTGGGAAATGAGCCTCGGGGGAGAGAGGACACAAATCTTAGTATTCTCCCAAGAAGTTATGGCAGAACAAAATTAAAGCTCTCTAGGGGGAGCATCTGGAATGTATCACATTTTTTTTAATTCCTAACATCAGACCAGTTACATATCCCCAGAATAGGGCATATAATTAATGACCGTCACTTATATTGTTGCTTTGCCAAAATCATTTATTACTGGTTTAGTAAAATTATGGCACACATATTTCGAAGCTAGTTCATAGAGCTCACTCGAGTTTTCCCATTCTGTTATAAGGTTCGATTCTTCCACCGAAGTGCATATGTTCTTGAACAAAATTGCCACATTGGAAATGTTACCTTACTTTTAACGCTATTGACGTATTACTTTTCGCGTTATAGATTTCGAACTTGATCCGAGCTGCTTTCATCGCACTGTCCCGCGAGTGGGCGGATGCCAAGAAGCATATTTCGGCAAAGTCCAGGGGTTTAAAAGAAAGTTTTCGCTCGTCTCGTTCTCAGGCTTTTTTATTATGCTAGTGGAGATGTTTATGAGATAAAGCATAATTGCCGACCTCGTCCTGTTCGAATGCCGTAACTTGTCCAGAAAGGGAAGGCGCGAACGAAGCGAAACCCGTAGCGTTAAGGCTGCATTTTGGCCATCAGGATGAAGTCCTTGCACTCATCCCATATGGCAAGTGCTGAAAATGGAACTAGGGTAGAAGCTTATGAAGATGCGAACGAATGAAATGCTCCACCAACTTAAAAACCTTGCAAGAAAAAAGAAAAATGCAGAGCTGTGCTTCAAGGGTTCACGATTAACAAAGTCAATCAAATCCTGTTTTCTGATGAGAAACTGTTCGATTTGGACGCAAGTCACATCTAATATAACATGGCCTGTGAAAAGGATAGAGAAGTCATATTCATTGTAGGTGATGGATTGCACTCGTCCACCATGAGCAAGTCTTCGATCCACTTCGTTTCACTCCTCACACCTTATAACGGCGATACTTCAGAGCGATATTTGTGAAGCAAATTATTTGAGCGAGATATGCAGCCCTGTGCGTACGATGCGTTAATATATTTACAGGGTACTTATAGTACTTACAGGGAGTAACTTATCATATTCCCCTTTTAGTAAATTACTTACTTATTTTGATTTCATTAATTTTTTGCACTTTACTTGAATTTATAAAGCAAATACTGGATTTATTGCACCCTCTGCAGGTTGGAATCCAATAACAGATATCCCGGCTGGATTCTTCAGGGATATGGGGAACTTAGAGAGATTTGATTGTTACGACTGTGCCCTCGGACCAACACTGTCGACCAAATATTTGGAATTCCACAGTATAACCATAAAATATATTACCATAGGTGGCAATTCAATCTCAACTCTGCAGGTGGATGCGATCACAGGTATTATTAATTTTCTGCACTCACATCGAGTGCTTATGGTGATCTTTATTCCTATTGCCACAATTTCATTAGGTGCAGCACACGTGCTACGACAAGTTCTTTCCTGTGCGAGATTGTTTATTTTCCCCATTCCAGGTTTGCAGCCCGATACGGGTCTAAGTATTTCAACTAATGAAATTCGGGAATTGACGGAGGTATCATTTTGCCCCATGCTGGAGGTGCTCTCACTGGGCACTGGGTCCATCAATCTGAACGGTGAGATCTTCCTTGATCACAATGCTCCATGACGTAGTCTTTCACGTCCCCCCCCCCTAATCTGGTTATCTGTATTGCAGCTAACCCAGTGGAGTGTGACTGCAGCATAGCATGGATAGTGCTTAACCCCTCCTTTCTGGCAAGAGTGTCGGGTGATTGCACGGATGGAACGGATTTTCAAGACTTGGATCCGATCATTTTTCAAAACTGCGCTAGGCGTGACCCTCCTTTGGAAGGCGACTATTCAACTTGGATCAACTCTGGAATGATGAAAATGTGAAAACAGGGTGGAATTGATTATTTTTGGCCATGGCTACTTGAATCTGTTGCGAATATAGTGCTCAAGTGCTCATAAGAGAAAAACGTTAAAGGTTCAAGGTTGTTTAGCGATATCAAGAGGTGATACACCAATTTGAATACCATGTGTGGAGATCAAGTGTTCCTTAATTTTAGCGTAGACCTACTTCTCTCCAAGCTAAATATTTCTATATTTTGTGATGCTTATTATTATTGGTTATCCTAATTTCTTACTGCATAGTCCCTTAAGTCAGAATTGCAAGACATTTGGACATTGCATAAAAACATACGGTTTCTTTTCAAAAAAATTGTCACGGAAGGGACAAAAAAAAAGAAGTGCTGCCATCGAACTGGGAGAACCTGCCACACTCGACAGTATTTATTCTTTTAATTATCTTGAAAGCCTGGATGAGATCGCCCCTCCTTAACCTTCTCTCGAGGGTGTACTGTCCCAACACTTCTAAACGCTTCTCGTACGGAAGTCCCTTTGCCTCCTTAACCCTTTCTTGGGCAAGGGGTGTCTATTGCACCCCTACTACGTTCCTTGTACACGTACATGTTATCTCCTGATTCCTCCATATGTCACAGCTTTATCGCCTAATGTTTTCGTCAGAAGGACCTTCTGACAACTGAGTTAAAGAGAAAAAGTGGGGGAGGGGGAAAGAGGGGAATTCCTGATTTTATATTTACACCCATTTGGATACCACATGTCGAGGTCGACTGTTCCTTAATTTTAGAGTAGGCCTACTCCTCTTCAAGCTAAATATTTCTATTTTTGTGATTTATTTTCTTTCATATAGGATATCCTAGTAGCTTACTGGCTAGTCCCTTAAGTCAACATTGCCCCCCTAATTCATTTTCCATAAAAACATCTAGTTTCTTCTTAAAAATAGTCACAGAAGGGACACAAGTAAAAAAGTCCCGTCTCAACCTGAGCCGCACTAGTGATTTACGCACCTTTAGTTGATTACCTCTCGTTCGTTCGCCGCCATCCCCCTAGTCTTGCCCTCACGCAAGTCCCCTACCTTCCGTAATCATTCTCGTCATCGTCGGTCAAGTTCCAATCTATGGCATCTCTGTCCTCCGCTGTATACTCCATCCATCCACATCTCTAAATAATCACTATCTTGTTCTGGTTCTGGAGACAGTGGATATTCTCCTTCACACCTGGAAAGAGAAAATATTATAAGGGCAGAGGGAATGGACGAAGCGGAATTGGATGAAAGTGAATAGAGCGATGTGGAACAACATTCGTTGCCTATGATACAAATTTTTGAAAAAACATTTTTTCGAATAACAAATTTTTCGAATCAATGGGCGCGGTAGCGCATATTACCTTTCTTCAACACCTTGCAGCGACAAAATTCAACGGTCTCGTATTCCTCTCTGAAAGTATCGACGTGAATGAAATGTGGCATACTTCCTCCTATCTCAACACAGAATCACCATAGCAAATTTGAAGCTCCATCTCCCCGACGTTGTGGAGATAACTGAATCTCGCTTTTGGAAGATGTGGAAGTCGTTCCGATATTTGCTTCTCCCCTTGGTAGCCGCTCCTGGGAAGTTTTTTGAGGAAAGAGACCAACCAAACAAAAGATACGTGCGTTCCTTTCCTCTTGTCTCCCAGAAGTGCATACACCAGAGGCACGGAGTTGTTGGCTTCCATTACATGAATGGTACACAGCTGTTCGGAACTGTCTTAAAAGCGCCATCGACATAACAGTGCTCGAAACGTCTAAGAAGCTGCAAGTTTCTCTTAGTATAAAATATGAGAATCTGATCGTCTTCAGGTCCAGAGTCGTATACAAGAAAACCTCGTTAATTCGAAATCCAGGATACCAAAAAATACCGACTTCGAAATAATCAGGTTCGAATTATCTGGTTTGGCCATTGTTATTTTGTAATACTGTACTAAATCCACGTGTTTTGCGCCGCGTATTCTCTTCATTTTGTTTGTTTCATGGCCGTTTCCCGCCAGCTTTTCAATGATACCACGATTTTCAAGGAATGTGAATAGGTACCTGCTCATTAATACAAGACCGAATGGATATTTCGGTTTGTCAGCTCGTCAGGTTCAGGTCGTCCCTTCTCATGTACTTTTGCACCACAAGACAATNCAGCTCGTCAGGTTCAGGTCGTCCCTTCTCATGTACTTTTGCACCACAAGACAATAATGTCGGGTCTCACACGGGTTGCGTTTGCTGAATTTTTGGATGAACTAAGCGCCATTATCGGACAAGGCAATGAGTTCATTTTCGTCCTGTACGATGCTCAGGTGCACAAAAGGGTTAGTCCTCAATACCCAACCCTCTCCATTCAATTCCTCCCCCCCCCCCTGTACTCAAAGTCCTTGATTGGAACGTGGGTTGGATGGGATAAATCCCATCTAAATCCCGTTCTCGCCCTTCAAAGCAGAAGGGAAAAAACGGAACGGTGCGTGTAGGCCTCAGTGGCTATCCCTAAGTTGGCAGCTGCAGTATGGAAGACCCATACCGATGCAAATGAGGAACATCTGTGAAGAGTCAAATCGCAACGTAAATACGGATGCCTCATGCAGACATGCATACGAACATTCTTTCGATACGTCAATACGGCGTTTGCCAGCAAATTCATTCATGAACGAAGACAAAGGTTCGTCTTCCCTGAAAATTATATACACCAGGGTACGAAATGAAAAATATCCGCCTGATATTTTATTAGTGCTGGTTTCTTTCGTGAATCGGTTTTTTTCGGCTGGTTTTTTTCGTTTTTTTTCGTGAGTTTCCTTTATTTTGAAGCATGAAACTTTAAATTCGAAAGCCAATTATTGGTAATTCAATGTTTCAAGTAGCAGTGTGCCTCTCCACAATAATCGACAAGAGTGACTTTTACTCATTCTCGGGCGGTGACCGAGATTTTCAGCGATAGAAGAGGTGATGAAGGTGGTAGTGTAAATGTTGCGTCCCCAAGTGATACTCATCATGGTGCAAATTTCTTCCCATGACGGTCGTTGAGTGAAGGTAAGACAAGATCGAAAGCAGCATTCTGAGATTCCTTGTTGGGTGAAGGAGTGCAGGTGAGGGAATCCCTGAATTCCGATTCATGATTTTTCTTGTCAGTCTCTGCCCAGTACCACGGAGAAGATGAACATGAAAAATGCAGTGAATGCATGGGAAATTTTGCATTAACTCACGAGTGACGAGGTCCCGTTAATTCAGGCCTATCGATTCGGTCCGAGGCTTCCTCCAGCCATACAAGCAGATGTCGAGGATCCACTCCAGCACTTCCAGGATGGAGATGAAGGACAGACCCGTGTAGAGACCCGATACCCCTCCCAACGTCCCAATGAAGTTCGACCACTAACCCATAAAACGTGTTGCGGACCGAATTGTGATATATGGGAATCTCAGGCTATGAACCTATGAAGGATATGCACTCACGGGATATATGAGATGCTCCGTGATTGTCTCAACTGCAAGGGTCTCATAGTAGATGTTCACCACAGCGAAACTTACTCTGGAGAGAAAGTTGAAAGGCCCGAGCTCTTAGACACAAATATTAAAATAAAAAAATAAAAATAGTAGTTCATATCCCATTGGCAAATCGTCGAACTCCATACCCTATCAAAAGCGACCGTTTTTACTCAAGCGGTTTTCCTATGCGTTAGGGGAGACCAGCATGCATTTATTTCATGCAGTAATGTGAAAAACAATTTTCAAAGGATTTAACTTTCTTCAAACCCAACCTCAACTTAACATCACCTCACCTTCCTTTCCCACCTTCCCCCACCACATTCCCCCAACACTTTCCCCCCGCGACCCTTCTCTACGGATCTCACTAACGTTAGGACTGGGCCTAACCGCTGGAGTGTCTTCGGATCATGCCTAGGCTTTTCTTTTTTTCGATTCAAAGAAACTCAATCCTCGACCTACGGACCAATTAGGCCTATAAGGATTTATCCATGGATTTCGAAGCATCTCGTTGAGGACATATAACGTTAGGCCATTCCCAGACCTATTCAGTCTCACGGCACATTTAACAGAGAACGTATAACGTTAGACCGAATATGGTTTTTTGCTTGTTTCATGAGTCGTTTCTGTGCCTTCGGGAAACATTTGGCCTATCCAGAGTTCCTCGAACCGTCTCGAGTCGTTCCGAGAAGAAAATGCCTTTAGAAAGCATGACATAAAAGCTGGTTGCCATTATGCCAATTGTGGGATGTTCGGAGGAGATATATTCGTATTCCACCAAATCGATCGCCTACTGCAAACAAACGTTTCATTCTCAGCTCATCCCGTAAACTCAGTACAAAAATGTCTTCTGCATGAAAATGAGAAGATCCAGACAACCATGCTCAGGCCAAGGAAGGCATGAATCTGACGGGACTCCGACTTGATATCTGGCAACACTGCGGGGCCAGGACCGGAGTCATCACGCTAAAAATAAATTAATGCAGTCTACTTTAATTTATGATGGCGAAATGGTGAATTGGAAGCTATAAATAGGGCAATTTTCGTCACCTACTCGGCAATATATTTCGTTTATTAGGTCTCTTTCCTCCCCAGGAATTTCACTCCGGTATTTTTTCCCCCTGGGAAAAAATACCGAAGTGGAATTCACATATTCTAAAAACGAGATTCGGTGATCTCCACAACCCGAGGAGATGGAGCTTCAAATTTGCTAGAGCAATTTTGTGCTAAGAGACGAAGAAATATGCCAACTTTCGTTTCTATTTATGCTCTCAGAAATGAATAAG